CCTTTTTTTTATAAAGAATCAATGACGTCACACATCATTACTCCTAATATAAAAATTTCATTAACGAGATAGTTTTGGTATATTACAAATGCTAAGATTTTCTAAAAGAAACTTGACTTGAACATCTAAATCAACATATTGATAAAGCCTCAAAGATGTCTTTCCATAATACCAATATGTTATAAATATATGTATACATAATTTCAACAATTACTCCAAATGGAGCTCAAAATACAAAGTTATTGTATAAAAGTTACATCAAAACATCAAATCTATAACCAAGTGACTTAGGCTTACATTAAAAATCTAAACTACTAAAATTTAAGCTATATATATATATCCCTTGAAAGCTTTAGCCTTGACTACTCTTTAACCAGACTTCCTAGTAGGTAAATTGGATACTCCACTTGTCACTCCTGCTCACTTACCATAGTATGATTATTGCAGCACACACGCAACCATATAAACAAATACAAGGGTGAGCTTATACAAATAAAAATAATAAGTACATAATATAAGTATATTAAAATCATTAGTAAAATTCATGTAATTTACAGCAATCAACATGATAACTTCAATCAATTTATGCAGCATGTCCAGCTCATCTAATACAAATACAACGATTCAGTTTTCATCTAATTTCACAGCTTAATTAATTCAGAGGAACTGTTTCGGTCTAGGAGCGACCTATCCCAGTATCTGGGTCCAGGTAACTGTAGTTCAACATTTTATGCAACTTTAGAATGATAAAAATGAATGTGATGCAGTACAGTTAAATCAATATAAAACAACAAAGTTATATACAATTTCAGCTTCAGCAATCCAACAATGTATACATTTTTATCCAGCATTGGCAGCACACCCATACATATATTATCACAGCAAAACCAAGCATTTCACAGTATTAATTAAACATTTGAGCACTTATTGCATAATGAAATTAAGCCGCTTAAAACATTATTTAAGTATTTTTGCATATTTTAACCTCCTCAGCATATATAACACAACATTATAACACATCATGTTCTACCACAACTTTTCAAACAATTATCATACAACGGAGAAATATACTCGACTATACATACTTTAGGTGTTATCATAAAACTTGTTTGTACAACAGCTGGTCCTTAGCTACTCCGAGATTATCTATCTGATGGACCAAATCAACTTAGTTAAGCAATAGAGAAATTTACTCAACTATACTATTCTGGATTTTAAATATAGAATTTGACCATTCAATGACTTATTCTCGGCTATAACATAACTAAGTTCACAATTAACTTTGTAATTATTAGACGAATAAATCGGCTTATATAAGCTCCCCTTACTTGGAACGAATTTCAAGATCTTATTTCTCATGAGTCCTAAAGAGATAGATCAAGCGTTTGAGTATGAGATATAGCTCAAACGTTCCAGATCTACTCTGAACGACATGACATAAGTTTCTTGAGAAAGAGAAAGCAAGAAACAAGAATAAAAACAGAGAACTGAGCTCCAGAAACTCACCTAAATCTTGATGAGATAGACAATCTCACTTTAATCAGGAAGGAAGTAAGCTTCAAAAGGGTTTTCTCTTAGAAGAAGAAGTGAGAGAATAGAGAGAAAATGAGAGAGGAAAGGTGTTTGGTGAGAAAATGAACGTTTCTGGCGCTGAGGCTTAGAAACTCCCAGATTTTTGCAATTCTCGCTTGAGCGAGCTCCAACTCGTTAATAAGTCTGTAATTAGACCCTCTTTTACAGCCCATATATTCATATTTAACCTTTATTTTATTTGAATTTTACACTAATTTATTTATTAATTATGCAATTTGACATAAAGAGGCCGCAAGTGGATTTTGGATGCATTTTGGGCCCAAATTGATAGAAGATTAGAGCTTCGCAGCAATCAGCATGCCTAAACCCTTCCAACAAGCACGGTGGTGCTTAAGGCCTTGCACAGCCGTGCTCATCTGCGGAAAGCCCAATTATGAAGAGTTTTTAGGGTTGTCAAATCCTATAAAAGGGAAGATCTCAGGCATCATAAATGGACCGTTTTTATATCTTGATTTTGGCTCTAGAATACATCTAATCTCGTCTCTCTTGCACGGGATCCTTGGCACATGCTTGGTGACACTTTGAGCTTCAAGCGATCGTACTTGAAGACCGGGAACACATTTCACACTCTAGTTTGCTATTTCTTTTGATTATGGCTTTGTTTATGATTGTTTTAATTCTTTTCTTTAGCATGAGTAACTAAGTCCATAGCTAGGGCTATGAAAACTATTGTTCATGAATTTATGCAATTTTGATATTTGAATTTAAATTTGATTTCCGTTTTGTGATTAGATTTTATCCTATTGCGCTTCTTTCTTAATCCCAATTAATTATATCGTCAGGCGACCGTACCTCGGTTTATTAATAGATCTATAGGGTAAAATGAGACAAAGTATTAGGTGGACTAAACCAATCTTTCTCTTATAATCGTTATTAAATTAACAAATTCATAGGTTCCTCAAGCTTTCTCAAATTGATGTCTTGCATGGCCATTGGGGATATTAATTTAGAGAAAATAATATTAATATTACATGACCATTGGGTATTAATAGTATTTGTATGAATGATTGATAATCACAAGGAAATCAGATTTAGAGTTAAACAGAAGAATAACATAAAGGATTGAATGAGAAAACACATATGCCTTAGGTTCCTTTTCGATGAGTTTAACCAAGACGTGCATTGTATTCCTTACTCTTAGTTTCATAATTAATTTTATAAATTCTTGTTTTTAATTAATCTCGTATCTTTGAAGCTTAAACAATTGAATTAGAAAATTCTTAGTAATTGGAAAATAATTCTTGTGGGACGATATTTCGGGAACTTAATTTAAGAACCCTTTATTACTTCTCGATGAGTACACTTGCCCTCCGAACACTCGTCTAAGTGAGCAACGTTCTCGCATGAACAAGATCAGGTCCAGAGAGTCACCTAGTTTTCCTACTACTCCTCGCCTGAGCGAACTTCTCTCGCTTGAGCGAGATAGCCTCTCGCCTCAATGAGATTCCTTCTCGCCTTGGCGAGAAGACAGTTGGAGAGATCTTATCTTGTCTCGCTTGAGCGAGACACTCAGCATCCCAAACTCTCAATTCTTCCTAAAATGAAACAACACAAGTTCTTGGCTATAATTCTTAAGTTATCTCACTCACAACATACTTAAAACTTAATTCTTAACTTGCACAGTTAATCACTTTCAACAACACCATCATACCTTACTGCAAATACATTACTCTCTGTTCAACAATTATATAGTTCTCTCATAATTCAAGCATATACAACACTATTTAAAAGGAATAATGCTTATATATATATATATATAATTATATAATTATTTGATATCTAATCAAATTCTACTTTACTATTCTTACTCAACGATCAACCAAACGACACTGCAACTCAAAACTTCCATCTGTTAATTGCACAACTTATCTATTCACCTTTCAACATATGGAATTTCATACTGTCCAAGTGTATACGACATAACTTAATAAGAATAATTTATTTATAACTATATTGGCCTAACAAACAAACAAAAATTGAATAGAGAAAAATTACTTTTATTAATAATCAATATAAACGAGGAAGAAGAGAAAAAGAAATAAAAAATAAGTAGTATTAATAACTAACGTAAAAGTGGAGTTAGAATAAAAAGAAATATAAAAAAAAAAATAAAACATAGAAAGAAGAAGAAAGGGAGAAGAAAAAAAAGAAAGTACACAAAAAAATATAAACTATGTCATAACAAATGAAAGTGTATTTGTAAATTATAATATTAGAAATTTAAATTTTAAAAAAATTATTTATTAATTAAAATTAATCAAATTTAGTTATTATAAAATTTTATAAAATTAATTTATATAATTAGAATTTCAATTTTAAGTAAACATCTAAATATAATAATTAAAATTTTAAAGTTTAGTTTTAATATCAATATCCAATTCTATACTCAATTACATTCGGACTTATTGAGAAAATTTAAAAAGCCGATTAAAAACCCGCGTGCACACAAGGGAAGTTCCCCGTAAGATAGACCACCGGTTGTTCACTGGCTTCACAATACTACCAAGAAGTATGCACTAAGCTTCATTGATTTACAGTTCTATTGTTCGTTACTCTCTCTCCCTCTCAGCCACCAACACTTTTCTCCATTACTTTTGGTTTTTGGCGCAATGTGTTGAGTTAGTATCAATACTGTTTTCTTTTAAATTAAGTATATACTTAATAAAAAAATTATATTTCTCAAATACTCTATTTTAGTATATTATTTCTAAGTTTCCTATTTTGAAAAGAAAAAAAAAACTGATAAAGACGTGAGCCAACAGACATTTCTTGATCACCTAAAAGCTGATGTGGACAATTTTAGTTACTTGTCATATTTTTATTGGAGAGACAGGTTTAAGAGGATAGAAGCTTTTCATCCGAGAAAAAGTGAAATAATAAGTGATGTAACGTGATAAAAAAAGTTAAAGAATATAACTTTTATTATGTATCTTTTTGACACACTAAAAATTTATTAAGAAAAAACTTTAATAAAAGTAATATACATGTGCATAAAAATTAAAACTATATATCTATTAACACTATTAGATTCACACTAACAATATTTTGGAAAAGAAGTTATAGGTCGACTGACTATTTCCTAGGTGTGCCGCAGAGAAGAGGGATACAAATAAAATACAATATATGATTAATAACATAATAAATAATAATAATAAAACACAGAAAAAAATGTATTAAAAAAAAGCTGAAGGCAAAAATATAAACGTGATGTTGCTCACTTCAATCATCTCAAGAGTTAGATTTAAGCAAAAAATAAATAAATTATTTAAAATACATAAATGTGATTTGACACCTGAATAGATTTTTATTTTTTTCATTTATTATTATTTTATAAAATTAATTAATAGTTTTTATAATTAATTAATCTTTATTTAGCAGAGAATAATAACCAAGTAAAATGTTATCTAATACTTGATCACATCATATTATTGAATGCCAAATTTTTTTTTTCAACAACTAGATGTCACTCACTCTGCTCCTTAACTTACTTTACACAGTACATATTTTCTTGAGAACCGGTTTTGATTGGATGATCTGTGAAACAATTAAACAAACTCTAACAAATCTTTCACCTCTGCTTTTAACTTGGATACATAAATCGTAGCTACGGAAGAATGTGAAAAGGTAACGAGCAAGAAACAAGTGGCAACTTCAATTAGATTATGCATGCTGCTGTTTCTCCCTTCCACTTTAGAGCCAATTCGGAGATTCTCTTCGTTGATGATCCATTCTCACCTAAAGCTATTGCAGCTGCTACCTTAAGCTCTTTAATTCGATGAAGAAGCTTCTTACCTTCCTCACCTTCCATAAGGGTCTTCACAACACTCGCTATTTCTTCTCTTTCCACCAATCCACTCTCATAAACCTTTGGTCTAAGTGCCACTTTGACGTCTTGGGTCACCAAAACGGCATTCATTTTCTGCTCCGCATAGAGTGGCCAAGCCACCAAGGGCACCCCATTCACTACACACTCAAGGATTGAGTTCCAACCGCAATGGCTCACAAACCCACCTGTGGATCCATGACTAAGGATTTGGATCTGTGGGGCCCAATATGGCACCACCAGCCCCCTCCCTTTGGTTCTCTCCACAAAACCCTTTGGCAAAAAATCCAAAGGGTCAGCGTGAGCATCCACATCGGCAATGTAATCCTTGGGGCACTTCACAACCCACAAGAACCTTTGCTCACTCATCTCCAACCCCAAAGCAAGTTCTTCCATTTGAGCACGTGACAGGGTCCCAACGCTGCCAAAACAGACGAATACAACACTGTCACGTGGCTGCTCATCCAACCACTTCAAACATAAACACTGTTCCTCGGTTTGAGCAATGTCTTCGTTAACTAGCGGTCCAACCGGATAAATCGGTGGTCTACCCGGTTCATCCTTTAGCAACCACTTGATAACTTGGGGTTCAAGTTCTGGGAAGCTGTTTTCTATGATTCCTTTGGCCAAACTGAACCGCTTGCAGTGATTGAGGAAAAATTTATATGCGTCGTCGTTTCGGTTTTGAATCGTGTCCATCAAGTCTTTGCCGTGAATGGAATTGCAACCAGGGATGTGAACCGGTTCAGGGAGGTCCCTGAACTCGCACTGAACTTCTTGGTCGAGTCGGGGTAAGTAAAGGTCAAAGGACAAAGCCATGGCCGGGGAGGGGAAGAAGATGTAAGAAGGGATATGGAGTTCTCCGGCGACATCGATGGCGTCGGTGCAGAAGAAGTCGATGACGAGGGCGGCGACACGGTGGATAGCGACAAGGGAGTGCCGGAGAGAAGGGAGAGAGCGGAGGACGGTGAGGGAGATTATGGTTTCGATTTTGGTGTTGGGTGGAAGGTCTGAGAGAGAGACTTGAGGGAGGAACACGTGCGAAATGGCACGTGGCAATGGGCTGAAGAGGGTTGTTTGGGGCTTTGAGGGAGGAGCGTTGGTGGGGATGAGGAAGGTGACGTGGAGGCTGTGGTGGCGCGTGAGTCTTTTGGCGAATTCTATCATTGGGATCAGATGTCCCATGCCGGTGATCGGCATCATGGCCACTGTGTGTGGAAGTTCTTTTTTTGTGTTGGTATGGGACTGTTCTTCTTCCATGGAAATATTCTACGCTCTTGTGGTTTAATTTGTTTATTTGGGATTTGCCGTTTTGGAAATGCTGGTGGAAAGCAGTGAAGAAAAAAGGAGGGGTTTTATACAGGGAGTTCCGGTTAATTGATTTGTGGCGAGTGAAACTAGCTAGTATAATTCGTTATTCGCTTTACTTGAATTTCATTATGTTAGATTTTTATTATATACTTTTGCATGTGTATCAAGGTTCCTTCAAATGATGAAGGTAAGTTGTTTAAATGTGTAGGTGATTTAACAGGTCAAAGTTGTGTTGGTCAATAATTACCGCAGCAACCACTAGCAAACTCATTTCAACTGGTTTGGTGCTAGGGCTAACATGGTCGAACCACAACGTGTATACTTAGTCAATACAAATGTATTGTTGATGTTAACGGATCATAAATTGCATTATGGTGGGGTTCTAGTCATTCTAGAGAGGAAAATTAATCTGCTCCATTGTATAATTAATTAGTGCGTGTTTGCTAACACGGATTAATATGTGTATGCTCTTTTTATTTTATTCTAAGAATAAGTTCGTTCAAGCTTATGAAAATGAACCTCAGATTTTACATACGAGTGTGTCTCTCGTCATTTTTAAGAATCTGTTCTCATTTTTATTTAAGTATTTTTTGTTTAAATAAAACTAATTTATAAGAGTGATAATGACAATTGATACATGCATGGTGGTCGATCATTAATGCATGAGTGTCAAATAATTTGAGCTGCCAACTGTCGCCGCCACCGAAGGTGGAATAAATTGATGAATCCACATTAGATTAGTAGGCCATAGCCCTTTCAGTGGAAATCTCACTGGCTGCACAATGCTTAATTATATAGAACTGTGTAAATTGGGACAAATAATTAGATTTTTTCCACTACTGTCTCGGTTAATAATGCAAGTTCTGATAATCATCAGTGCTCCATGATTCTGTCCTGTAACATATACAAAGTGACATACTCTTGAAATTGTTGGCAGATTGCTCTAACTAGATAAGCCAAACAGTGTGATAAAGTTTAATTGTAGTTAGCCAGTACAATAAAATTCCTAATTAACTACAGAACCATCAATATCAAATATGCTTCGCGAGGTTCTTCAATAATGTATTAGAGTTATCCTCATGCGAGGGGAAGTTCATCGTGGGACTGGGAGTTGGAATTTTGATTCATGAAACAGTGCGATGAGAATGGGGGAATAAAGTATTCTTTTTTCAATAAGATTTATCATGCCATAGTATCATATTTATGGAGATCTGCTTTCATTTTATGACTTGTTGAGATAAGATATGGAACATGGTCAGGATCTATTTAAAATTAGGTATGATTCACCTTATTTGAGGAATAAGCTAAATTTAAGCTTTTTAAAGAGTTTAAAAAATTAAATAAGTTAGACTTGAATTTAAGAAAATGTTTACTAAACTGGATAAATTGACTTATTTAAGATTTATTAATTTTATAATAATAAATAAATAATTATTAAATATAAATCAAAATATATTTATAGTATTATTATTAAATAAATTAAAATTCTAACTTTTTAGGTTAGATAATGTTTTATAACCTTGACCAGCTCAATAATTTATTAAATATTTTAATATGAAAAAATAGGTTATTAAAAAAAGTTAACAAGTCAAATTTTAAAACATGAGCTCAAGCTTAAAATTATTAAATAGATTAAATTCACTTAGACAAAATTTAACTTAATTTAACATTTTCATTCTTAATTAAAATTTAAGTGAAAATATGAATATTGAAATGAATTATTAACCTAACTACCTGCATTAAATGAGAAAAATTTATGATTTGGCCAATGGCAGCAAGAGGATAATTTGTTTAAACTTATTAAAATAGAAGATTTGAACTTAAGACTTAAAATAATTTTAATTTTTTAATCTAACTTATTCGAACAATTTTTTATATAAAGAAAGACAATTCAGGGCATTCCACTGTAAAAGACAGGTTGGAATTGTACTCAATTCGAATGAGCATCAATTTTGTTCTGAGTTGATAGTTGCACCCCTTTTTTTATACTGCACCTCTTTATTCTTTTTTCTTTTTAATTTATTTTTTCAGAAATATCCTTACACACTCAAATGGAGCATCAGTACTCTTTTCTGCTTCCTCTACCATTGATTTCCTCTACATTAAGATTTGGATACGAAAAGATGTTAAGAATATGTGTTTTTAATCATATTTATCAAATAAATATTTTATTAATAAGGATATTTATATATAAAAAATAAAATAGGGGTGCAAACTGCAAACGAAAAAATAAAAAAGGTGTTAAAAGCAACCTTTTCTTTGTTTAACTCAACAAAATCCAAAGCCTTACTGGACACTTAACACTTTCTCTTGTTTCAATCCAACTATTTTTTTTTCAAATAAAAGTTAGATTATATATTTACTCCCTATGGAAGACATTTTTTTAAATTTAGTTACTGTAAGTAAAAAAGTTGTATATAAGTTTTTATAAAAAGATTATTTTTAGTTTTGTTTATGTTATTACACTATGTTTCAATATCTTTACCTCTTTTTCTTTTTCGATAAATGATTATTCAATATAACTTATTATTTACAAATTTTTTAAGTTTAAATTATCGTTTAATACATATATAAGATATTTTTTTTATAATTTAGTAGATAAAGATAAAAAATTATATATCAATTGATAGACGAAATTTTATTTACAATATCATTTCTATGATTATGTTTATATTTTCATACCATTATCAAATAATATTTTTTATTATTTTTAAATAGTATTTTAAATTATTTTAAAAATATATTTTACTTCATATTTTTTTATTCAAGAAAATAATTATAATTTTCTTATAAATATACCAAAGATACATATGAAGAAATTTTTTTATTTTAGATACAATTTAAAGAGATGAGAATTATTATGTGAATACTATGAAGCAAATAAATAGTAATATTTGAAAAAAAATTAGAGGTAATATTTATATAAATATGAATTAAAATACAATTTTTTAAAAATAAATTTAATATAAATTTAAAGTAAAAAAACTTTGACTTATATGATAAAACTAAATATTATGAATTAAAAAAGCATGAAGCATAATATAAGATTTTTTTTAAATAATTTAGATTACTTTTTTAAAAATATAAAAATTGCAAATAAATTTTCGTATAAGAATTAATATATATAATTTTATGACTAGATTTAAATAAAAAAACTAATAGAATAAAAGACAATTTATAAAAAAAAGGTGGCGGATGTTTTATTTTCTCTCTGTCGCACACTTTTATTATTTATTTTTTGCTGCAGCGTTCGTATTCTTGGGCTTATTTCTGATAGGGGTAATAGTTTTGGGCCTTGGGTTTGTTAAATACCCATGATATTTTTAATCAATCTAGAGGCCCAAACAAACAAACACAGGTTCAAAACCCGCTTCGATCACAGCTCCTTGACACCGTCGCTCATAGCCCAAATAACTAAATATCACCCAATTAAACCACTTATTAATTTGAATTCACATCTAACATCTAAAGATAAAATTTATTTATCTACATACTCATAATAGATTGATTTATATGTTTCTATCATATGTTTTATGCAATGTATACACACGCAAAACTAAAATACTATAAATAATTTCATTAACGAGTATGAAAATATTTTTATCAAAAGCCTACATAATAATTTGTTCCATTTATTGTTGAGCCATCTTTCTATATAATATATATATTTGAAAAAAAATCACTTACGAGTATATTTTGAGTATATATGTTGTCTAATAACTTTTTAAATATTAAATTTTTATTTATTTAACTATTAAATTATTTGAAGTTATATTGATATTCATGTATATTAAATTTTAAATAAATTAAATATTTATAAATATTTAACTTTTATATTAAATATTTGTTTGTATTTTTACAAAATGTAATACATTAAACTTTGTTGATAAAGTATCTAGTAGTTTTAAGATTATACAATTTTTTTAATTTTATATATTTAATAGAATTAATAAAATTTATTTATTTTTAAAAAGCTATCAAATAGAATAAATTATTCAAAACTTATTCCGAAAAAAAATTATTTCTTTCTCTATTTTGATTTTTGTGGAATCAATTACATAACATCAGTTCATATCAAATAAATTTTAAAATTATTTTAACATAAACTCATCCGGCATTGAATAGGTACTGTTCATTTAAATCAATTTTGCTTCGAAAAAAACGAGCTGTAAAAAGAGTCAATGCTCGAATTGAGAATGCAAAGGAAATTTTCGATTAAAAGAAAAAAATATTTATTTATTTATTTTTACCTTTTGTTCTGATCTTAAAAAATAATTTTTTAAAAAAAGCACACATAAATGGCTTAAATAAATGATTTCATTTCATTTGTGAAAAGTAAAGCGTGAACGAGAGAGAATCGGAGAAGGAAGAAGAAGAAGATGATCTATCGTAAGTGGAGTCTCCTTACCGGCCCGGTGGCTATCCTCGGCGGCGTAGTCGCTACCATCGCAGCCGCAAACATAATCTTCCTAAAAAATGTAAGTTCCCTTTTTTCATGTTTTTCAATTTCCTTGACCCCCCTCTGTGCAGTTAATTTACCCCCTTTTTGATTTGTTCCAAAGGAGCGATTTTGATTAATTTTTCCGGATTCGGGTGCCGATTTGTGATCTGGGTTTGGCGTAAATTTAATGAAGTACTGGAGGATTCTGAGATTAAATTTTGTGATTTGGCTAATTTTCATTATCTGTTATTAAATGTTCATTTAGTCCATTTGGTTTTTGAATGAAACTGAACTTTCGGTCTTAGTATATATATTTTTGCCTTGGCTAATGGATTGTGGACGGTAATATGTTTACTCCCGATCCAGAAGAATAGGGATTCCTCAACAGAAAAAATTAAACTCCTATTCTTGAGCTTTGTAATGGGGTTTGGGTGGAGTAGCCTGTTTCTTATTGATTGGTTAAAGAGCTTGCTTGGAGATGATTAATGTGCTAGCATAAGTGGTAATTAACATGGCTTTATTCTCTTGAAACCGAAGGACTAATTTACGCTCTGAATGTGTTTATCGAAAAAATTACTCTAAACAGATTTAGGAAGACAAGAGAATTGTGTTTGATTTCATTCTTGATTTTGTGTTGTTCAAACATACATTTTCTTTTGTAAGTGCAAGCTAACCCAGTCACTGAGGTTAAAATGCTAGGATTGTCTGATCAAACTCTGTCTTCACTTACTCAGAGTGAAGGGTCCCTCCCCTTCCTAAGGTGTAGCATGTGTGCATTGGTGTGTGTTTCTGGATGAGTGTGTTTTGTTGGTTTTATGTGAGTAAACTGCTGGCTAAAATGGGTAGGGTTTTCCAGATCAATTATCTCTAGTTAAAGAAAAAAGTCATAATGCCCCCATGAGCTTTGTCTGTGCCTCTGGAATTTTTCAGCCGAAACACATTTTTATTTCACTTTGCAATTGGCCGAACAAGGGACGATCCAATTAGCAGTAGCAACAGTAGTAACTGCTAGGTTGCATCCTACTACCTGAGGTCACTTAGATGGATCAACCAAGACTATTCGACCCTATGAAAAACCAAATTCTAAGCAAAAACCATTTGCAAGAATAGCATTTTTGGTGTTTTCTCCTAATGTTTGAAGGTTGAATTATGTCTCCCACGCTCTTTTTTGCTGCGTTTTGCCGGCTATTATTTTAAAAGAATTAAATATAATTAGGTGATTGTAATTTACTGATTTAATTGTACTTTACAGGATCCATTCCTTAAACCCGATGAGAGGAAGTTTGAAAATCGAGCTGCAACCAAGTAGGAGAAAAGATGTGCAGAAGTTTGCATTTTGATGTCATTGAATTTGAATCCTTTATTTTATAAGCTCTGTATACTGTTTTGCGAGACATGCTCTCTCTAGTTAATAATACTGAGATTCTGAATCAAGTCTGGACCCTGGAGCATGGACCCTAGTCTAGAACTAAGCTACCAAAGCTCTAGAAAACTGGTTCATGTTTCATAGATCCAAACTTGTCTCTTTTGTACAATGTCAACTGCAAATGTGTAATGTGATTTCTTATCTTCCATTTCTTTTCTTTTATCCTTATCAATTTACTGCTATTGCTTGCCTTTTTGGATTATTATGCCAAAATTCACACCTTTTTGGATTATATCTTAAAGGGATGGCTAAGTAAAATTTAAATGTGCAAGAATGATGTTTATATTTGAATATGTAATGAGCGTAGCTTCATGCACAAAATCTCCTATTAAAAATAAATTATACACATTTTATATTTTATATTGAGCATTTGGGGTGGCAGTAATCTGCTACGGGTTCTCTTATATACATTATTTACAAAATGGATAGTGATAATTACAAGTTGAAAATACGGTTTGCTATAAGGCAACAGCCAACAAGTATGGTTTATAAATGCCTTACATAGCACTAGGATGCCATTTCATACATGTTTTATTTACACAAACTCACGAAATGTTTCAATGGCCAGAATCTACTCTTTTAATTCCACCTATGTACTTTGATGCTATCAAGGTTGCAAGAAACTTGGCTGTTTGCACAGAAAAGTGCAGTCATACCACTTCAGAATTATTCAATTTGAGACTTTATTTCTTCATCTAAGTATAAGGAAAATAGGCAAGTCTTCCTTATAAAAAATGTGGTGAAAAAGAGACTATTTTATAATTGAGTGCTAAGGTTTACATCGTTGTACTGCAACAAACTGAGTACGTATCCCCTCTTTTGTGCTTTGCAAACTTTGATTACCCTATACAGTTCCATGTACAGAAAATATAGCTCAACCTAATGGCTTTGTGTATAAAACTGCCCTTTGCAAACTAATAAAAGGTATTGGAAGAAACTACCATGAACTTCAATAATCATAGTTGAAACCAGCTTCAAACCTTGATGATTACATTTATGACATTTTCATGCATTGACTAGCATTTCCATTATTATGTCATTCCACGAGTCAATTGGTCCTGGCAAACACCAATGTAGACAATCATTCTGAACCTTAGCATTCTTATCCTTTGCAAATGGATGGAACTGCCGGTAAGGTCCTGGATGCCCATCTGGTCTCAACAGTGAAAGAAGAGTTGTGTCCAAAAGTTTCAACTTCACCCTTTTGTCAGATCCTAAGGAAATAGCCTTCTCAAACTCTTCAAGTTCAATACCACGCATGATGGAATCTACATCTATCATATGTATCTGACCCTCTTTGAAAGGTACAGTTCTATTACAATACCCTCCACTAAACCACTCACCATTCTCAAAGTGGTCTGGTGTGGTGGTTCTGAAGAGAACAGTGGCTTTGTGGTTAGACTTTGCGAAGAAGTTGAACACTTCTTGTAGTACTTTGCGGTATGCATAATCAAATCCTAGCTCTGTTAAGTTCCTTCCAGGGCAGTAGTGGCAACCTGTGACTGTGCTGTTTTCATGGTATATTGCAGTCTTGAGAAACCATTTTCCACCACCAATTATGACATAATCAAAATTTTTGTATTGGTTAGTCCACTTGTTGTCAAGTTTGTCAAGATAAAGCTGTATCTCTGAAGAGGTAACTCCATTCATGTCCTCAAATATAGCTGCTTTGACAAGGAAAGGGGTCCAGATTACTGAAAGTGTGAAGTTGTGAGAACGGAATTTCCATATCTTTGATCTGTATTCCTTGTCATGGTAGACCTCAACAGCTGGTTCCACCTGCAGAAGAAAAATCATTGGAATTTAGTCTAATATCCAAATTGTAGGACCAAGTAAATGAGTATCAACAGACAACACACGTTGGTACAAATAGATAAGCCAGATATGTTTGTAGGGACAAAACTAATGACACTAATGAATACAATACAAAGCTAAGGGACAAAGCAACTAAAACACAGTGAGACAAGGTACTCAGGTTAAGAACAATAATCCCCCACCCCTAAACTCTCTTAAAAAAAATCTCGTTCAAAACATAAGAGCCTGTTTGTGTCACAGTTGAAAAATCATTGTTCACTCTTTCTATTGAAAAATACATGTTCCAATGAATAATATATATTTCAGATTAATTTATAGCCCCATCTCATTCATTTCAATGGTTTAAATCAATTTGATTAAAATAAACTTTACTCAACGTCAAATCAAATATGCGCTTAAATTCAGAACGTTATTATAAGTTATGGTAACAACAAATTGAGGAGGATCCAATGGCAATGCATCATTAGTGATGAACAACTTGTTTTACACACTACGGTAAGTGTTGCACTCATGGAAAGTAAAATCTCAACATTTTCACACTAATTATTCAAAGCTAATCTAAAAGGTTTGGTCTACGGAGTTCTTATGCAAGTCTCCACTTATTAAAGGTAGGTAGGTAAGTAAAGCTGCTTAGCCAAAGACATTATATTATTTGAAGGCAGTGGACCAACCTTATAATATAAGCACCAGCTGTCATCCACAAATGGAATCAACAGCTTTATTCACAATGACAAGGATAACTATAAAATGACATACAGTGCAAGCTGTTGAACCTTAGTGCTCTTAAATCACAATTTGAAAATAGCTAACAGGTGATTGATCTTGACCCTGATTCATAACCAATGTAGGTGCAACTATTTAGTATGTATCAAGCAGTCACATGACCTCATTTTTAAATAATTGGAATCTTGATGTTTACTAAATATAAATACAGTGAAAAAATCAAGATAATGTCATAAGACAAAACCTGTAATGGTGTTGTTTACAATTTAAACAGTTTTACTTTAGCAATCTGTAATGACATTAAATGTAAATATTTTACTAAAACAAAACTCTTCTGATTGGCAAACAACATTAGCAGCACCTGAAATACAACATATAAGTTTTGTTCAATGCCATGTATTGATTTCTAAAAAATTGGTAAGCCAAAAAAGGTGGAGTGAAGCACAAGTAATGTACACTTACAAAGTACTAATCAAGAATAAAATCTTTCAAACAAATACCTTTGAGAGAATGCAAAGTAGGGATTGCACTTGGTTGCGGGAGATGGAATCACCAATAAAGGACATTGATTTATTTCTCATAAGTTTAAGAAACTTCTTGGGATTGAACTTGGGCAATTTACAGTCTCGTGGGCTCCATCTCCAGTAAAGGTACCCTGAATCAGGGCGTCCATTTTTTATACAATTTTGATGAGGCTCAATCACATGGCAGCTCTCATTAGTGTATTCTGGACCAGTTAGGTCTGGCACCCAATCTCCCACAAAAAGATCACATTTTTCTGCAACTAAATATTTGTAATGCACATTACCATTACCAATTAAACACCAACATAAGTACTTGACATTACTTAAAATTTTATCTAACGTTTATGACTATACTTTTTTGCTTGAAGAAGAAGGCAATAACCAAAGTATCATCAGTCATCAAAGCAAAGACAAAATATCAAGATCAGAAATACAAGATAGAGGATTATCAAACAATCTGATACACTAGTAAATTAGAAGTGTCAATACTTGAACTCTCCATTAACTAGTTGTTTTACATAATTTGGCTTCTAAAGATTTCACACACTAATTAAAGCCCCACTCTTGCATCAATTCCAGGGAATTCACTCAAAAAGGAAAATAGTTAAACAAGTTATATTAGGTGAATTTTTGTTTCATAACCCATTTGAAAACTTCGGGAAGAACAACTGGTAGTTGGTACATTCCATGACACCCCACCAACTGAAACAAAATTCAGGGAAGGGCAAAAGATCTAAGTGGTTCCAATCAACTGAAATGAGAAGAAAGAAAGGAGAAAAGGGCCTTCTTTTATTTTTTATTTTTTTCATTTTTGTGATTTTGTCCACCATTTTGAAGCTTTGAAATTGAAATTAAGACATTGCAGTTCATGCATGTCTCAAAGTGAACAATTTATTCACCACAATCAATGAAATTCTCTTACCATCCTTAGAAATTTGGGTCTGGTTATTCCCTGGAAAGTCATCAGAATCAGAAACCTGAAGTGGGGAAGATAAAACAGGGGAATCTGCTTTTGCCTCTGCCAGAGGAGGAGGTGTTTCCACCACGATTGATGAAAACAAGCTGAATGAATCCCACAAGAGAAGGCGAATAACGAGACCCACCAAGAAAAATGAGACTGCAAACTTAACACAGAAATGGTTATGCTTTTGCATGGAAAATGGTCCCATATCAGACCTTATTCTCTTCACCATCTGTTATCAGAAGCAGAGTATCTGCGAATGAGAGGGGACAAAGATGGAACCAAAAGCAATTTCACTACTTTCTCGTAACAAACGGGACGGTGCTGTTGAGTAATTATTATAGGGAAATGGAAACTACGGATTATAATGAAAAAGGAACCTGTTTTCTGCATACTCTTTGTTGGGATAATAACGTGTGCTGATGCAACAGAGTTTATGACATGTCCCATGTGGGAGCCATAAATTGTGAAAATAAAACTAAATTAAATATCATTAAAAATTGAAAAAAAAAAAAAAAAAAGAACTTTGCATGAAGAGAAACATGTTCCGTGAGTCCCCAGCGAACTTCATTTGATAGAGAAGAATGTGTGTCATTTGGTCTAACTGTCTAACACAATTCTCTAAAGAATAAGTACAAATGTAAAAAAATTTGTCACATACAAATATAATAATTAATATTAAAATAAACATAAATTTGTAACTACTTAAATGTAAATTTAAGCATAATTTTAATCCATTTTCACTTGCATGTACACGGCTGTTTATTCAGATTTGGTGAATTTTATCATATTTTGAAACTATGATTTGTAGGACATGTAATTCTTCTCTCTCTGGCTCACAAACACACTCATAGCACACTAATAATAATAATTATTATTATTATTATTATTATTATTATTAGCTTGATGTTGTGCACTACCAACATTGCCTTTATTTCATTGGGGGAAACACGCTGCATGTCTTTGGTTGAGTAACATCAAAGGCATTGACTGTGCATCTGATTATTGAAATCACCAACTTTGTTCAAAGTCATCACCTTTTTCAAGTTTTACAGTGTATCAGCTATGTTATCACAGATCTTACTAATTAAGTACTTTAAACATATTAATTAAAAATCAATAAATAATTTTTCATTAAAAATTACATTTAAAATAAGTTATATTTTAAAATAAATATAATGATAATTTTTATTTTTAATCATTATTTTAAGAGTGTTTCTTAATTTTTTTTTTAACATTATTTAGAACCTTGTGTAATTTTTCTGTGGCTACAAACTTCTGGGCACAGATTCTGTAAATATTTGGGCTTATTTGGATGTCGGTGCTAATGATGTCCAGAAAACTTTTTCCTCCATTTAATGATTTAATTAACTTGAATAGCTTTATTTGACAAGCTTCACCCCCGATGTCATCTCGTTGCTGTCACTTTTGAAATGATTAAAACAATCTGATATGAAACGTTTACCTACTTTTAATGAATATTATGTGAGCGAGACTTAAGAGTTAAGTAGTTTGTTCATTTATTTAAAGACCAATAAGAGCTAAAAAATACATCAAAGTAGTGGTTGTCCAGTTTATTTTATTGAATTTTTAATTGAATAATTTTTTTTAATAATTCTTTGACTCTTATTAATAAATGAGATATCAAAATATACTCCTCAACAGTTAGTCCCCTATCAAACATAATTGTTCATAACATGCCTTAATGTCAAAATTTTGGTTAATGATACTACAAATTTGGCAACAGGTCACAACCCACAACTACACTTGTTATGTTCAGAATTCTTCAAATAACTAATTTAAATCACCATAAAGTTTTCTTGGGACAACAATAACAAAACCGAAAATTACTATAAAGGGAAATAATAAAAATTCAAAGGTTTCCAATCTACAGAATGATTTATTTTATTTTATTTTATTTTTGTGGATTTTAGCATTTTAAGAGTTTGGTATGATATGATGAACATTAATGGCCTCCATTAAGTTGAGTCTTTTTGGTGGGACCCCAAATGTTCTTTGCATTATCTTCTAATTGAGAGGAGGACAGAGCTCTCGTGCCCATTCACAAGGATCCTATCTCACTCCACATTTATTTTCTCCTGATCTACCCTTCAATGCATCAACCAACTAGTTCATACATCACTTTCGTGTTTAATTTTTTAGAAGAGGTAAAAATAAGGTTAGAGTAATGATATATCTGTTTACAATGTTTTTTTTATGTTATTAATCCTTATAATGTTATAGAAAAAACAAGATTTATTCAAATAAAATATTTTGAAAAGTTAACACGTGTTTTAATATAATTTTTCAACACATGCTTTACTATCATGTAAAATTCGTATGAAACACACTATGCCTATGCTTACGCATTTGCAGGAGTTCCAAATGCTGTTTTGAGAAATGAAGATTTTTTTTGGCCTTCGTTGGGATAGCTTGGTACCATGTGTTACCAGTAAGTACAATTTATTCCAAAAAGGTTATAAATTATGTGAATTCTCCTTTATCTTAATGGGTCTTATTTCATATTTAATAATATGTACAATAATTTTAGCAAACCACACAAAATTCTAAGTGTCTAAGAACACAGAGGGAAAAGAGGAACCTGAAAAATGGGTGTTTGGCTGGATTATCTTCATGGTTGCTAGTAACATAATCCAGAATATTGAATCCCAATGTTTAGAACGTAAGTTTTTGCCTCTCCTAAATCATATACGTAATGAAATAAAAGTAATTTAATACTGTTATAGGGATGTCTCATCCTGTAATCCATGTGAAACATTAGCATATGGGATAATGAAAAGTATGAACACTTGGAAAAAGAAGGAAAGAGACAAAAAAGCAAGAGGGCATGGAGATTAATATTCATGTGCATGTTTGATTCCATAAGGGGTATGGCTTATGAGTAAAGTAGAAGCAGGCTTATGAATCCACAAACACCCCAAGGCAAAGCATGGCCTCCAATGCTTTGTGCCTTGTGGAAAGCTTGTCTTAGTGCTTTTGTACCTCATTTCCCAATCATTGGTTTGCCCAATTAGTTCTTTTAGAGTTTTGCACTCTACCACTCAACTCCTGGCCCCACCAGTCAACAAACTACTCAGATTTGTTTGCTATTATTTCTATTTTTTTTATTTGCATAAATCAGGGTGTTTTACCTTCAAATTAAAATAAATTAATTTAAATTAACGGTACTTACATTTTAATTTATGTATTTTAGAAGTTTTTTCTCTTTATAAAAAGTTGAAGAATGGCTTACTGCTTTACAGGACCAGAAGCATCTAATGTCTGAATAATATGCACGGATATGAATGGTTAGTTGAATGAAAAAGAAATCCATACATAAGTTGATAGTCAAGTTGCTGATCACATCTATACAGGCGAAAATCAAATGAAGACCAAAGTATGACGGTAAAGGAATTCTTATATATTTAACCATTTAAAAAGAATTAGTGGAAGTGCATATTTAAGCATTACTAAATATACCCTAAATGGTATTATTTAAAAAAATGATAGAATGTAGATTCTAGAGATGTTGATTGATCCGTATAATACTTGGAAGTTGTTATTATAGCATATTAAAATATTAAGTATATGACTACCATGTTCACCAAAAATGCTTAACTACACACCTTATAAATTGATCAATGAATATATTACATTGTTTTCCAAATTGGACCACAAGCAAGATTGCGAGCACAATAATGTTTATGCTCTTTTTCGTATCCATATAAGAATTACAAAATTTACATGTTATATTAATCTATGATTCTGACGCAAGTCGTGCATAAATCATTTGGACTTTGTTAGGCAGCAGACGGAAGAAATTCAAGTAATCTTGCAAGCATATAAAAAGTTTCCCAATGATCTTATAAGAAATAACATTTCCAAATCTGCAGAAGGATGGAACAAAAATCTTCCCAAATTATAGCAGAACTTTTTATTTATACACTTCTCTGTTATGCAGCTGCTTTGGGTGCTTTCATGCCAAATCCATGCTTTGCTTTCTCCACTCTGCCAAATTATCAAGACAAGAGACTTAACAAACTACCTTAACTGCAGGTTCTTAAAGATTAATAAATTATGTAAGAAGACAACTGCCAGGATTATATTCACTGAAGAGGTAAAAGTAACAACTGAAACAAGGCAATAATTGGCTTACGACAATTTAAGGAAAGAGAAAAGCATAGACAATTCTGTGGTGATGAAGATATATAAATTCTTCTTTCTTAACCCTCATGCAAAGCATTTGTTGAATCATCATGTTATCATGAATTAAGTATTGCTAATGTTTCACAAGTAAAATTTAGTAGATGATCATTTGCAAGCATTAGATGTAACTAGTACTAGTTAGCTTGGTCACTATATGATAAAACATCATAAATGAATTAATAATTTAAGACTCTTTTCCAACAAAACTTATTCCCAACCCCCCCCCCCCCTTTATCTCTCTCTCTCTCTCTCTCTCCATTTCTATTTGAAATCTTCAATAGAATAGTGGAACCAACAACCCAAGTATCACACCAAAATGATGCAAAAATCCATGTGGCTGCCTGTTAAAAACCATGCACCCCCATCCCTGATAAATTCATATTGATTTGCAAAACATGCACTGTTTTCTCTAGGTCGGGAATCCTCTAAGCCAAGTCAAAAGTATCTAAAAGAGCCAAACAGGTATTGGGGAAAAACTCCACTTGATCTGCCAAAGATGACATGAAACAGTTGATGTGTGACTGCTAGGATAAAACAAACACGGGTCGTTACTTGTTAATAACAAGTATCCAATATTATATTATCTTCCAAGTAATAAATACAAACACAAGCGCATTGAAACAAAAGAGGTAGACAGTCATTAGATAAAATGGAACAGAATCATTAGAAACTCAGCACTTACGTTGGTGCAAGTTTGCCAAGGCTGTCTAACTCTTCTCCTGTGTCTTCATCCAGGACTCTCCCAGAAATTTCAATGATATAAGATCTATTGCTATCATGAGGAAGCCCTCTACGTGAAAGTAGATCTAAATCCTTTTGGTGAAGTTCCCTGCCGTTTACAAAAACAGCAGTATTTCCGCCAGCACATTTATCTGGCATCGGATAGCTGAACTCTTCTATGAATGGCTGCAAAGACAAATCAACTTATTATGTATATTGATCAGACTATAAGCATATGAGAAATGGATAGGGGCAGATTAAAATAACTTACCAGAATTATTCCAAGACATGGACCACCCATGACACCCCAAAATCCAGCCCGAAAATCATACCTAATGAAGCAGAAGTATAAAGGAAAATCAATTGCTATACCAAATTAGCCAGTAGCACAAAATTTATGATTTACTTCTAAGTTGTTATAACAGGTTTAGAAATGTTATGTACAGGACACCTGCGTTTATGAAATTTAATGTTATTAGGTCAATGAAAGTACTGCAAATGATAAGAACTTATCTGAGTTTACCGCATACAATAAGTTGACAAATTTTTATCAGACATGCAAGTTTAGAAAGTTTTGGCCCATATAAAAGCATATGACGCATTTCAAAAGCTTAACTAATTTTGATTCCCCTTTTTTTCTCATTCTGTGGAAAAATTAATTTTGATACTTCGTACATTTTTTTTCGTTTGAGTCTTTTTTGTGTCAGCCTAACTTGGTTAACTACAAGGCATACTAACCAGTAATTTCCTGGCTGGATTGGTCCAGCTAGCTTTTCAGCCTTCTTAATCACACGATCTGGTATGGGCTGTCCATTTACAGTAACATCACTTTTACTGTGATCATCGATTTGATTAGTTAGGGAGAAATCCCGGAAGCCTTTCTTGATAATATTTGCCAAAAATGATTCACCACCTTTGTTATTAGATCTAGGATGATCATGTTCTCGACTAGCATCACCAGAATCCTGGGAGACCACAGTGTTAGAATAATCATGGACATCCATCTCTGTTGCAAGCACTACCTCCTTCAAAGAGTTTTGCCTCGAAGTATTCTTTTCTATTTTTGCCTTCTCCTGATCTGAGCGACTACTTTGGTTGCCTTTCCCATGCCGATTTACCACGTGGTTATTACTAGAATAATCAAAATACTCTTGAAGAGGTGAGCCAGTAGGTGGAGGATATAGAGAGGCGTTAGTTGGCTGATCTATGGACTTGGTAGTTTCACTTGGTGCAGTCATAACTTCTGGACTATTTTCATCTTCAGAGGTGCTGGAAGATGAAGAACGGAAACTTTGCATCTCGTGGGATTTGCTTGAGTTCAAGCTTGGGTCCACAGCCAACACAGGAGATTCTCTATCAACCGACTGAAAATCATAACCAGAATAATCATCAGATGAGAAGTTCACAGCACTTGTGTTCACGTGACCATGGGAATGTAACACACGGTTATTCCCAACATCGTTGATGGTATCATCAATCCTTGTGGATGTGGTAGTTTCCCTCATTTCTGATTGAAGAGAAAAAACTAGCTTCTTGTTGATGACAGCAAAATTTATTTCTGAAGAACAAGCCCCACATCGCATTTTCTGCTGACGTTTTCTCACCATGACTAGTGCTTTTTTAGGCAGTTGCAGTAACTCAAAGCAATTTTGACAAGTGATGAATGGAGAACCGCCAGCTATAGGATGGCAATGGCGAATACCACCAGCAGGCATCACTTTTCGAGGACGGCTTCGGACAAAACCACTTATCTCGGAATTGTAGTCTTCAGGCCATCTTGTATGTAATTGTTTTTCATGTAAACTCACAGCAGGAATGGCAGTTCTAGAATTATGAGCATGCGGACCAACTGACCCTGGCATCTCATGATGGTATAACATAGGATCATTTGGGGCATGCGGAAATCTGCCATTAACGAAGGCAGCAGGTGGCACTGGCACTGAACCTCTTCTTCTGTTTTCATAGCAACGAAGACAAGAACAAGAAGGTGCATGAAGCATAGCACTATATGCATATGGATCATATGAATTTGGAGCAGTATCAGCATAGCGTTCAGGAAAGTAGGGATGCATTGGTTGGTTCAGGAATTGATGAGGTAAAGGATGTGAACCCCTCATCATTTGTGATGCAAAAGGATCAGCATATCCAGGCATATAATTTGGATTATGCATTGAAGGGTGGAAGTTGGGCATAGCCATTTCATGACCACTAGTATAAGCATATGGATCATGATGATAATTGAAATAAGAGGGACCTGCCATGTGTTTATTAGGGCCAAAGAATTGTCTTGAAGTCCTGTTCATCCCTGATGATCCATCCGGAAAAAAAGTATCAGTAGGGCCACTATAAGGATCTGGAGGAACCATCTTTCCATGAGGAACAACCTTTTCCTTCTGGTTATGAACCACTTCAGAAGACTTGTTCAGCTGGTTGGATAACTCATCCAGCTTCCTCAGAAGCTCAGCTCGATCTTGCTCGAGGTGCTGAACCCTGTTGACACCATCCATGTCTTTATAATTCCTCCATTGTTCGCCATGATTATAAGAAAAACTGGAATAGCTATTGGAAGTTCCCTCATCAGGGTAATTCAAAGTGGTAAATCTCACACCTTCTATCTCAGCTTGTGGCTTTCTCCAAAACCCCTCCATCCCACCTCTCTCCTCATTTGGCCAGTTAGACATTCTCCCAGAGAATTCAGACCCTCCCATTCGATACTTCTGCTCCTGCTTCACTCTTCCTTTTGATTTGCCTCCTTCATCTTTGTCTTTATTGACATCAAAACCATTCTCCAAAACCCCTTTCTCATCCCCATCCTTGGAATGATCCAGATACTGCTCGTGTCCTCTACTTGATCTCTCTGAATCCCTTCTTTGATCCTCCCCGGAGAAACCACCATTGGACTTAACATCAACATCTGAATTATCACTCAAATCAACTACCCCTTTCCCCAAGGAATTTCCTGATTTAGCATCATCCCCTCCACCCTGTCCCTCATCTGATGCCTCCCACATGCTACCACTTTCAGAACCTTTAAGCTTTGCTGCAAATGGAAACAAATCACAATAACAAATCAGAATATCCCACCCCTTTCATGCTTTTGACCTGTTAGTACAAAAGATCCAAACTTCACCAAACCCAAACACCAAAAATCTCAACACAAATAAAAAATTTCCAAGCAATATTAAATTAAACCACAGCTTAAGCTAAAATTAAGGAAATGAATATGAACAAAGGGTACCTCTAAGAACAGCATTGCAACCACCACATTGATAAACAGAGTAATTGGCAAGCTCGGGAAGCACATTTTGACACTTGGGGCACCTCACCAATCGCAACTTGGCCGTGTCCTCCATTGCTGAGCTGAGAGCAAGCACACAAAATCACAAAGGACTTCTAACCAGGCACCATCACCGAACACGGGAGAAGAAGAAACACTGAAGGAGGGTGAATCCTCACAAACTCGTATATTATCAAGGTAAAACTTTCAGGTAAAAGGGGAACGAGAAGTCCAAAAGCTTGGCTTCTTGAAAACTACGTCCGAAAATGAAGCTACCAAGGAAGTGGGGTAGGGAAGGGGTAAGGGAGAGAGTCTTGTATGCTTTTTCTTTTGCTGCTGAATTTTCCTTTCGGGTTTTCTTGGTTGTTTTCTCAGAATCCAAACAGCAAAAGACCAAAAACCCAAAAAGGGAAGTAATGGAGAGAAGCACAGTGGGGACAGATTTTCCTCTCAGAATCTTAGAACTTTGCAAAATTGAACCGCTTTCATTCCATTTCCAGAGTTGCTGAAAAATAGTCACTTTTATATTATGCCTTAAGTTGGAGAGAGAGAGAGAGAGAGAGAGAGAGAGTAAAACAGTAATTTAGGATAAAAGTCCAAGGTTGTACGGAGTGGCGTTTGTTTGGCTGCAAGAAGAAACAGGAACCAAATAATTGTGTTAAAATTATCTGTTAGTCCATGTTTGGGCACTGGGCAGGATATCACGTAAAATCACGTTTCAAAGCATGAAAATTATAATTTTTAATGTTAAAATAAAATTTATGTTTAACAGAATCTAACGTCAATGCAAATACATTTTTCGACTTAAAATATTAAAAACAAATACACTTTCTAATAATATTCATATTTTTTTATTAATTGATATTTAAAATTATATAATTCACACTTTTAATCAGCGAATTAAATTCACAAAATTAATTTTTTTTCATAAATTTTAACTAATAAAAAAAAGTGTGTTGGTAAATTTTTCGGTACTTCAAACGAAAAGAGAGTAAAACGACACCTTTGTTGGGAATATACTATTTGGCGCCACTGCGCTTTCGATTATTTATAAATTCATTTTCATGCCATCGGAATTGGAAAGAAAACGCAGCTTCTTCAAAGTGAGACTCGCTTTAGTTGAGTTTTAATTTCACGTTCAATATGCGGCAGGGCAATGGCTTTCTGTGCGTGTCAATTTGTCAAATGATCAAATCAAAATCACATCAAAAGGTTGGAATTAACTAATGAACATTTATTTTTTAATTGCCTCGTGTTATGCTTCCTTGCTAAAGGTGATTATGTGGTGTAAATTTTAGTTTAAAATAGATAAAACTTACTTTTAAATAACACTTTCTTTTCTGTGAAGTTATGAACATCGTTTAAAAATTATATCAATTTTTTATAATTTTTATTTATTAAATAAGAAATGTTATTTTTTATGTTTTTAAAAAATAATTTTTTTTTCATTTAGAACAAAAAATTAGGTGAAATATTATAGATATTTTTGTGTTATTTTTAATTAAAATCAAATTCTTTATCTTAATAATTCATTCAATAAAAATTAACATTAAAAATTAATACATATCATTAAAATAAAAGTTAAATTTTAATCAAATAATATAAAAAGTACATATGATACTGTACTTCAATTTTATTTTTTTCAATTTAATACTTATTCATAGAGTAGTAAAAATTTATTTAAAAAATAAAAGTATAACAAAATTGTTTAAAACTAAATAGTTTATTATTATTTTTTTAACAAGAATGATATATTTTAAATTTTAATTATCCGCATACATTGCTTGTAAGATTATTTCTCAACGTGCCTTAATTTTAGATATCATTGAAAAGTCAATTTTTGAACTTACATATCTTTTGTATTTACTATGAAACTTCCAAATAAAAAAAGAAAAAAAAAAAGTGCATAGGAAAATTAGTGTGAGGGATACCAACTTCTTAATACCTTTCTAAACAGTATGTTTTGAGAAATAATTTTTACACATTTAAATTAACTTATTTTTAGGTTTGTTAGTCTCAATCCTCTATTAATATTTTAAATAAAAAATATAAAATTATATATATCTATTATATTAAATATATAAAAAAATATAATTTTATCATTATTAATTGCTTTTTCTATTAATTTGTAAAAAAAAAGAGAGGGGGGAGCAACGATGCATGGTGTGAAAGGGTGGATTGGGGAAGAGGGAAGGCGCGTATGGAAAGATTCTAATCACTGACAAGTCTGAGTGACAGTGTTTATGACCAGTCTTCTCTCATTCTCTCTTAAATGCGTAAAAGGATACACGTAAGCGTGTGGGCCCCATCCTCTTCTTCTTCTTTCCGATTACCACAATCCATTTAACCTTTCCTTTTTTCTGTCACCTCATCTTCTTTGACTTTTTCTCTTCCAATTTATGGACATGCCATTGCTATTCACACTATCCTATTTTCAATTTAAATATCATATTTATGCATTGTGTTTTCAAGATAATAAAATACACATTTATTTCAATACACTTTTTACTCAATAAATTAATTACATTTTTAATTTATTTAATATTCTTAATGTGGAATTTTAATGCTGTAATAATTTATTGCTTTATTTGAATTTTTATTAAGAGGATAATAATTATCCATTAACTTTAACAAAAAGAATCAAAGTATGCTTAAATTTTTTTAAAAAAACTCATATGTTATTGTACAATTAGCATTTTTTAAGACAATATTTAATTAACTAAAATTTACGTTGAAATATATTAAAATACAATGATATGTATTATTAATATTTTTTAATCAATACCTTTAAGTGTACTATTCACTATTTATCTTATAATACGACAGAACCCTTACTCTTGAGAGTGAGTTATTTATTCGCACCTTTTTTATTTATCAATTTCTTATTTATTTAGATTATTGTTTACTTTATCATTAAAATTTAACCTAATAAAATATGAAGAGATGAAAGATAAAACGAGAGAGATGTTTTAAGTACTCGCTATATATAAGGTAATTAATTCAAAAAACAGTAATTAATGAATAATTAGATTCATTCATACTATTTAATAATTTTTTATAAAATATAAAATTAATTAATTTAACTATTAAATCATATTATATTATTGTGTATAACAAATTTTATATAATTTATACATTTATAAATAAATTATCCAAAATTTGATATCTATTTAAATTTTTAAAAATATTATATGTTGAAATAAAAGAGTAAAATGAATTATTTATTTATTGGATTTTATCATAAAATTAAATTATTTAACAAAATTATTTTAGTCAATAATTAAATTAATTAATCATGTATTGTATAAAAAATTTATTAAATAGCAAAAGTGTTTAAATTGAATACTTAATATTAATCCACTAGTTAATTAATAATTTAATATTTGGGAATGGTGTTATATTGCTACTAGTTTTAATCGTGTTGCAATGACATTGCTTGCGTTGTATGTGAAAGTGTTTATTGTAATGGAGGCAAAATCAGCTCGAAAATTAGCCTATAATTAAAGCACACCACCCAAACTCATCGTTTCTTTTTATCTGAGAGGTTTATTGCTATTATCTTGTGATTATCGTCAACTTTATCATATATCTATTTATCATTTCAAAGGTCACTTCCTCAGCAAAACAACTCAATTGTTATTAAAATATTGTTATGCACTCTTACACTTTCTTATTATGTAACATTTCCTCACAAGTTTGATCAATATTATAATTTTGAATATCAATTTAATTTAAAAGCACAGGAAAAATTATAAAACTTAAGCAATTTATTTATTAAAAACGTATTAACAATTTAAACTTATAATTATTTTGCTTGCACATTTTTTAATTGATAACCATTTTATTAATACCACACATTATTATTTATCATTCTCTTCTTGTTCGTGTTTCAGCAACTGGCAATCTTTATTAGGCTATTAGTTAAGTCAATCTATTAAATACATAAAAAATTGTTTATAAAATAATTCGAAAGTAAACTCTATAAAATAGCACCCGACGGCAATTCTGCATTCTTCCTATTTGTTTGTTTAATTTTTAAAATTAATCTATTTAAATATAAATTTCATGATTGAAAATAGTTCAAATGTCAAATTTTATTACATTCAATATTTTACAATTGATTATTTTAAAATTAATTCTATTTAACTTTAAAATAACAGACACTTTAATAAAAAAATAATAATAATTTGTCCCTTTCTTCTTGTATATATATATATTCAAAAAAATTATCGTGTTCATTGTTATATAGAAATTAATAGAGAAAGAGTATTTATTGATATTATAATTTAAATTTGAATACTAATACTATTAAATAATTTTTTATATAATATAATTAAATTAACTATTAAATTATTTTATATTATTTTTTAATTATGTGTATTAAAATTTTACGTAATTTAATTTGTAAGGTTATTATTAAAATTTTAATATTTATTTATTTATTTATTTTATAGAATTTTATAAAAATAGTTTATTTAATAAAAATTTTAGATTAATGATTAGATTCATTAAATCTTGCATCTTATTAACTAATATAAATGTGTAAAATCAATATGCATTGGTTTTTTCAAGGGATAAATCAACTCAACAGTTTGGCTATTGGCTGTAAAATCTCATAGTTGCGTTTTTTATGGGTTATCCCACTCACAAGTTCGGTCAATCTCATGAGTTTAGATTTTAAATATTAGAGTTAACATGTTTTGAAAATTCAGCTTAAGTTAGGGATGTTTAGTTTTAGGAAATGTTTTTTCAAGATTTGTAAGGGAAATATTGAAAATCACTTTTTTATTATTATTTTCTGTACAAATCTTACAAAACAGGAAAAATAAAATGATAGTTTTGTAATTTAAAATAAACACAAAAAATACAACTATAAAATGTTTTTAGAAATCCAAACAAAAGTCAATTATATATTAATAATAATACTTCAAAACTTAATCTTTAATACTTTACATATATTATATTATATTTATATTGATGTCTATTTGTCTATTTGAAATTATTTTATAAAATATACAACAATTTTATTTTAATATTTTATCCATAAACTAAGTTGACCTAATTTCATTTTATATATCCTTGAATTTTAATTCAGTCAGCTTCAAACCCAAAAAAGAAGACTATATTAAAATCACCACTCGTTTCAAAGTAAACCCCTAATTTTATTAAGCTTTTGTTGTCACTGGACGAGTACACACGTACTACAAAAAAGTAACATATGTTTAGGTATTCGAATTTTAAAAGAATAGCGTTTATTTAATAAAAATTATATTATAATTTTATATAAATATGATAATTAAATTGATAATATATCATAGAGATAATATATATACTTTTTTATATTAAATAAGAAAATATGCTAATAAACATAAGCTCAACTTCTAATCGTTGACGTATGTATAATAGGAAAAATATTATATTAAACATACTTTATTTTTGTAATATTATAATATGTTACAGAAGTGAAAATCTAACGACAA